GGGTGTAATGAATATCCGTGTGCTCATAAAACAGGCTAATGACCACTCTCATTTAATGGACCCCTTTCATCCTCACCTGTTCCCAACCCAGAAGGGACCATCCTGGGGGCTGAGCCACACACCCCAGCTGTTTGGGGTAGGGGCAGGGGCCAGTTGGTCCCTGAGCCCCAGGACCCTCAGAGGCTGCCTTTTCCTCCTCCAGCTCTTATCTGTTTGAACCAGCCCAAGGAATTTAGGTCGATGTCTGAGCAGCCTTAGGAAGTGGGCAGGGGATGGGGAGGGAGGAAGCACACCCTGATTCCTTAGAACGGTGTCGACACTTGTAACACGTGGTGGTGGCAGTGGCAGAGAGGGAGAGCATTTAGCACCTCTGGAGGCACCACGCCCCCTTCCTCTGCCCAGGGCCTGATAGGATCTCACAGAATCATCCCAGCCTCAACTCAAACACCTGAGAAGCCCTGGACTCGGGAGGGAGGGACTGGCCTGCTGAATCACCAGCAACACCTGTGTTTTGCTTGGGAGGTCTCCCGCTCAGGGACTAGCCAAGCCTGACCCTGTTTGGCTTCCTGGAACTTGGTGAGATCACAGCCCGGGGTGTTGTGGCTGCAGGCCAGGGTGACCTGCTATGCAGGGAGGATTTTTTAAAAGAGATACTTGCCCCTGTGTTCCCAGGCTTCACTCAATGAGAAACTCAAATTGTTCTTTGAGCCCCGCCCCCACCCCAATCTGACTGTAGAAATTGGTCAGGGGAACATGAAATCACTTGGGATAAAAATGTGCAGTGGAAATAAACAATCTACTTGCCCTGGACAAGCCCCTGGGTAGTTGCAGGAGGTCTTGGTGACTGGTAGCATCCAGGGGAGGTGGGATGGGCAGAATCAGAGTCCGCAACCCCCTGAGGATGGAGAGACAGAGTTCTGGAGCTGCCTAACTGTGCTCTTCTGGTCGGAGCTTGGGCAGGAGCCACGGACCACCATGACAGGGTCTGCCAGTGGCAAAAACTCATTAATGAGTCAGCCTGTAGCCTCAGCGTTCCCATCTGAGCGCTGGCCCAGCCCTGCCTCCAGGCCATCTGTAGATAATTGGGGTCCATGGAGGGCAGAGGATCCCAAGAACCTCCCACCTTCCTCCCCTTAAGAAGCAATGGCCCCCTTACATCGGAGGGCAGAAAAGGCGCTGCCGCAGGTCCCACTTAGCCTCTTGGCTGGCGCGGCACAGTGTGAAAGGAACACTCAGTGTGAAAGGAACACTCAGAGGGGCACAGGTTGAAACCCTGGGTTTGGAGAGGGGCAAGTAACAGGGAGGGTGAGTCACTCAGCGGTGGTGATGGGTGTTAGTTACAATCACCGTCCTAGAGCATGTGGGGCACTTTACACCACTGTATCATCTAATCCTCCTTCACAAGGAGGCACAAAGGGCAGAGGTGATCACCCCCAATTTGCAGGTGAGGTCACAGCCCTGAAGAGGTGAAGTGACTTGCTTGAGATTATAGTCCCAATTGGAGGCAGGTCTGGGGATGGGGTCCAGGTGTGCTGGCCTGTGACCTAAGCCCCCGGCCCACAGTGCAGAGTTCTCTGGCCTACACCGCATAACAGAAGGGGCTGTGTTAGGGAAACCCATTCTGAGGAGAAGAGGTGGTTTCTCTCCTCTTTGCTGGCATTGCCCAGGTGTCCCCTGATGTGCTCAAATTGGGCTAAAAGACCCGTCTCGATCTTCCTGAGTCTCTCCTGGGTCATGCCCAGGCCTGGGGGCAGGACACAGGGACAGGCCACGTTCTCCAGCACCCTTCGGACTTAGAGGACTCTGAGTGAGACCACGGGGAGGTCTGAGAGGGGTGTACGCTGTGATTCCTTATTTTCCCGGTCTGGTTCACACTTCTCTTCTGCTATGCCGCCTTCCTCGATAGCCCTTCTCCCACTGCTGCCTCCTTCACACTCTGGCTTGAGTCTATGGTGGTGCGAACCCCACTTGAGCCAGAACTGCAGCGGCTGCTCTTCTCTCCTCTGGCCCTGAGCTCCTCCAGGGCGTCCTGTCCCCATACGTCTCCATCACCTGCTCGCAGTAAGTGCCTGGGGAGAGGGGAGGGTCTGACACACACTGCCTTGTCCATGGGATCCACATCCACTACTGCCCTTGGTCATCCCAACGGCCCGGCAAGGCAGGAAACTGAGGCTGGGGGAGCAGCGACTTGTCCCAGTCATTAGGTAGCGGAACTGGAAGTGAACCCAGGTATTGTGATTTCAGACATAATTCTCTGCTCAGCTCAGTGCTGTCTCTCAAATGTTTGCTTAAGAATGTGGGAGAAAGTGACAAAATGGACTCCGTGTCTGTGGAATCGCATCAAGGTGTTGTCCTCTGGCTTGAAAAATGCACCCAACTTGTGGCAGGAGAAGCAGTCTCATTTCACTTCCTTCCTTCCCTTCCTTCCCTTCCTTCCCTTCCTTTCCTTTCCCTTCCTTCCTTCCTTCCTTCCTTCCTTCCTTCCTTCCTTCCTTCCTCCCTCCCTCCCTCCCTTCCCTTCCTTCCCTTCCCTTCCCTTCCCTTCCCTTCCCTTCCCTTCCCTTCCCTTCCCTTCCCTTCCCTTTCCTTTCCTTTCCTTTCCTTTCCTTTCCTTTCCTTTCCTTTCCTTTCCTTTCCTTTCCTTTTCCTTCCTTCCTTCCTTCCTTCCTTCCTTCCTTCCTTCCTTCCTTCCTTCCTTCCTTCCCTCCCTCCCTCCCTCCCTCCTTCCTTTCTTCCTCCCTTTCCTTCTTTTGTCCAAGAAACATTTTTTTGCTGCAGTGACCTGTGAAAGGGCCGCAGGGTCATCCCTGCTTGCTGTGCCCTCCGTTGGAAGGAGCAGGGCCAGCAGGAACACCTCTCTGGGAATCCAGGTGCCCAGCTGTGGAGCCATCCTGCGTGATGAAGAGCCCTGGGCACAAGGGCTGATAAGTCTGGGGACAGTTGGGCTTTTAGGTCTGGAAATGACCACATGTGTATCTGCAGGCCCTGGCTGCCGGTCTGTGATTCTGTTTTCTGGCCCTTCTGGAGTAGGGTTGGGGGGCAGTGTCAGGCCCCCTGGGACTAGGGACAGTGGTTAGGTCTCTGCCACAGGAGAAAGCCACCAGATTTCTCCTTCCCCTCCTGTCTTATTCCAGCCTCCTCCTCTGCCCTCTCCTCTCTCCAGACTCTTTCCCTGCACCCCTCTCCTCCTCTCCCTCCTTCACAGGGTACCCCAGCCTTCTATCAGGAAACAGCTCCTGATCAGCACCGTCCATTACATTCTGTGATTGAGGAAATGTTCTAGCTCTGACTGTCCCATACAGTACCTGCTGGCCACAGGTGGCTACTGTTGAGCACTTCAGTGTAGCTAATGCTACCAAGGAACTGCATTTTTACACATTTCATTACATTTTAATTAATTTTCATTTTAGTAGACTAGTGGCCACTGAACTGGACATCAGAGCTCTAAGTGATACTGAATGCTGGAGGCACCCCGACCTCTGTCTAGGCCAGCCGTGGGCAAACTACGGCCTGCGGGCCGGATCCGGCCCATTTGAAATGAATAAAACTAAAAAAAAAAAGACCGTGCTCTTTTATGTAATGATGTTTACTTTGAATTTATATTAGTTCACACAAACACTCCATCCATGCTTTTGTTCCGGCCCTCCGGTCCAGTTTAAGAACCCATTGTGGCCCTCGAGTCAAAAAGTTTGCCCACCCCTGGTCTAGGCCCTGACCCCTCCCCCAAATGCTTTTCTACTCAGTATCCTGATCTGCAACTTGTGAGAGACCCTAGAAGCCTTAGAGCTAGGTGACCCTGCCACTGGATCTGTGAGACTCAGTGGCCTCTTATGTAAAATAATGAAGATAATTTCTTGCAAGCTTCCAGGCTTCCTTTCAGCTCTAAGTTACATGCTTCTTTGGGTCACAGCCTGCTCTGATCAGATCTGGTGAGTCAGTTTGAGCAGCAGGACAGGCAGTGTGTGTGTGTGTGTGTGTGTGTGTGTGTGTGTGTATGCATAGATAGGTCTGCACGTCTGGGAAGGGGGCTATGAGGGACAGCAGTGAGATCCCAGGGGATCCTGATTATCGAGCCTAACAGCATCCTGGGGTGAAGAAAAGGGTTAAAGGCTCTGTCATTAGGGGAGGGTGCAGCCTGACTCCACTGTTGGCAGTGTTTGCCTGCTGCCTGGTTTGGGGCTGTTCCAGTGATGCCCCAGACTTCCTCTTTTGCCATAAAAGTATCCCGGAAAGCCTTCCCACAGAGGCCCCGGGGGCTTTCTTAGGGAATGTGTAAGTGTGTGAGCGCGCATGTGCCTGCTCCCCGCTGAGCTGTGGGCCCTGGCACTGGAGGGATGTCTGTTCCAGCTTGGGTGGAGGCAGGAGGAGGGGCTTCGCCAGGACCAGGACCCTGGCTTATGCAATGCTTCGCCTCTTAGTCAACTTGGACAACTTGGACACACTGCACACACTACACTGTGTGGGAAAGGGAGATAAATTAACCTTTGCTGCTTTGCCCCTGTCCAAGCCTCTGCTGCAGATCCCCCCCCCACCCGCCCCCCCGCCCACATCAGGAAGAAGGGGGAGATTCCCCAAGAGAGGAATCCTTGAGTGTGATGGAGGCTCCAAGCCTGTGGCTGAGGTGGAGGGACATGGCCAACAGAGAGAAGAGGCTGCCTTCTCGTCTGTCCCGGAAGGTGCCCAAGCCTCCAGGGATCTCAGGTTATAGAACCCGCCTGGCGGAGAGTTGCATCAGAGCGAAACTGCATGCGAGATGCCTTGGGGGAGAGGGCACTGAGGGCTTGTGATCCTAATTTCCCAACTTTAAGGTGCTTAGGGTCAAATCCCAGTCCTCCAGCAGTTCTGCCCCTTCCTAACATTCCTCTGCACTAGACTGCATGCAGATAGAGGTGGTCTCTGGGATGAGTGAGGAATGTGTGTGTGTGTGTGTGTGTGTGTGTGTGTGTGTGTGTGTGAATCAGAGGTCACCAGGCTTTAGTCAGCCCTGAGTCAGACAGGTGGGTGGAAACAACTTCAGGTATTCTTGGGGTTCCCCACAAGCAAGAGTTTCCCAGGAAAAAAGAGCCCTACCTGGAAGCTATGGGGCTCTGGCTGCACACTAGGTCTTTCTCTGCCATCACTGTGTGCTCAGGACAACAGAGAGGCCTCCACAAGTGAGTGATTTAGAAGCAGACCAGCCTGGAGGCAGGGAGCTGGACCAGAGGACCTGTTGGGTCCCTTCTCTGTCATTCCATGCAGAGGACTCACCACATCACTGTCTCCTGGTTCTGTGGACCTACATTGGTCCATTGAGAGTTTGGGAGGCCTACGGTTGGGTGGGTATAAAAGATGGTACCCCACAGAGCTCTGTTGGACTTTCTGAATTTTCTCCCGTGTTTTCACTTCCCTGGAAGTAGGTATGAGAGTGGGGATAGCTGGAAAGGTCTGTAAGTTGCTCTTCAGTTACGCATGGTCTTGGCAAGAAAGCCATGGGGTGTGTTCCTCCATCATTATAGCTGCCGCCAGATTTCCCACAGTACAGTGAATGAGAGAGAGCCTGAGGTCTGGCTGGTTGGTACCTCCCCCCCGCATCTCTGGGGGCCTCTGTGTAGCTCTTTTTGCTTAAATCTGTGAACAAGAGCCCCCCTCTATGTAACGTCAGTCGTAGGAGCACAACTATCTCCCTGGAATCTCTCCCTACCCTGCTAGAGGTGGAAGCATGCCTTCCCCAGCCCCCGCCTCTTTCTGTCTCCTCTCTCCCTGGACAGGGGAGTCACTATCCAGGGCACGGACACCAAATGCAGCCTATGCCTCTCCAAGATGATCCCCCATTTGCCTCTTGGTCTGAACATTGCCATGCCTCCCCTTCCTTGATCAGATGCCCTATAGAAGTGGGCAGCAGACAGCTGTGGAAGCCCAGGTGAGCCATGGATGCAGAGATCTGAAGCGGGTATGGGAATCCCTTAGCAAGGTCCCCCCTCTACATTTTACCGAACAAACAATGCAGGGCCCCGGCACCACGGGACCACTTTGGCAGGGGTGGGGGACATCCAGCTGGAGGGCCGTATAAGGCCCACGCAGTCATGTGGTCTGGCCCTGCCAAGGCATTAGTGTGAGTTGATTAAATGTTTGACCAAATAGGGCAGGCTAATTTTTAAGTTGATAATTCGGCATGGCCCACAAATGATATTATAAGTACCCAAAATGGCCCTTGGTAGAAAAAAGTTTCCCTACCCTGACTTATAGGGTCTAGAACCTCATTTTACTGATTCCCAGTGTGAGATAATTTATAACAAATTAACTCTTCTTTTTCCCCCAGGATCTTGAATGTGCAAAGGAGCTGGAATTTGGAAGTGTCTCTTCTTCCAAAATCCAGGTGGATGGTTCTGGGTACGTGGCTGGTATTTAATAAATGACTGTTGATTGACCTGAATCTCTGGTGACTCCTCTCTCACCTTCTGTAGGAAGGAGGGGCTTACCCTGGTAGACCTTGGCTTGTTCCTTCCCTGCTGTCCTCCTCCACATTTCCACTCTTGCTGGGCAGTTGGGAAGGAGGATGCCAGATGCCCCGTTCCCCCATCCCGAGGGTCCCACTTTGCTCTCTCAGGACTTCCTTCAGTGCTAAGACCTAAGCCAAGGAGTCAGTCTGCACAGCGCAGCCACCCCGACTAACTGTAGAGAAGTAAACAAGATGGTGTTGTGCCAGGGGAGAGGAGTTACATCAAAAGTATCTCAGAAAGGAAGAAAGCCAACTTTTATATGAGATGCATGGACGGGGGGGAGCGAGAGAAAAAAATGCCTGGGTAATTAAGTTAATAGGTTTCTTAAAGAATGCCCTTGTGAGTGATGTTCAACACATTCAAGTGTTGACAAGAAGGTATTGAACTCGACGCCCACACAGCGGGCAGAAGCATGCTTTCGGCTCCGACACACCTTCTTTGTCTGAAACTTGTAGTAAAACTCAGCGCTGGGTTGTGAAATCTGTCCCAGGCGATCTGTGCTGCAGGGGTTCCAAGGTCAAGCCCCTGCTTCCAGGTAGGGTTGGGGTGAGCCAGGATGGCCACCCCGAATTAAGGACCCAAGATTAAGAGAGCAAAGGCTGGGGTCCACTCAGAAGCCTTGTTATGCCCGTGTGAGACCTGGGGACCGCTGGGGTTCCCGGAGACAACTTGTGGGCCTTGCGGGTGTTCAGAATGAAGCCCTGTCCCTTCCCTCTGAGCCCCAGTTGCCTTGGGTACCTTGCGTGTGATACTCAGGAACATCTCTTCGATCCTAGGCCTAGGGCTTCCCTGTCATGATGAACTAGTGGAAGAATCTAGGCGAATGTGTGAGTATGGATTTCCCCTTTCTCTTAAATCGGTAGTAGGAAGAGAGAGAGAAACCCCAATCGTTGGTGGGCTGGTGGAAAGGAGCCTTGCCTTGGAGGAGGAGGCCCCCTCCTCTCTGTCTACATATTTGCATTTAAGGAAAGCTTAGGGTTGACATCACAGGTATGTTTCGAGCCTAAATTGAGCATTCTTAAAACAAAGGAGCACCTCCTTTGGCCCAGCAGCCTGCCTCAAAGGCCCCGCGCAAGGATGGGGCTCTGCCTGCGGCTGGCTTCTCAGCCCGCCTGCCCGGCTGGCATCCATCATCTCGTCATCAGCCGTCGACTCACCCACCTTCTCTCTCTGTTATATTAGGCTCAGGCTTATCGGGTGATCAGAGTCGTCAGGTTAGGACCTGAATCTCAGGGACTCCGTCACAGTTACGGTGGCCAGATTAGCAAAGTGGAAAAATGGTGACCATTTATATCTCTGTGAGAGAAATTTTCTGCCTTAGATACTTAACAAAACAGTTTGAAAACAAAGTCACCCAAGTCTGTGGTTGTCTGGTCACCCTGAGGAAGCTTATCCTTAAGAGAGCAATTTAAAACCACCCGAATCAGCGCCAGCCCCCCTGCACAAAGGCCAGCCCTGCCCTCACCTAAAGTCCTATCCAAGGCTGCGTGTCTGTGGTGTGGGGGAGAGCACGGGGACTGGGATTTCCCCTCATCTAAGACGGCGGCCAAGGAAGGCAGGCCCCTCTTGCGCCTGGACAGTTGGGTGAGCTCTTGTTCTTGGCACCAGCCCTTGTCCTGGGGGCTCATTTCTGCCTGGAGAAGCCATTTCCTACCCCGCAATCCCACTGTTCAGGAGATGTAGGATTCTGGCCTTTGTGCATACTCCTAAGACATTTCTGTTTCCAGGAAAAGGGACAATTTATCATCATTCTGCCTCACTTTCAGCGCATTAGGACACAGGATTGAAGAGAAGGCTCTGGGTTGAGTGTTTGGCCCCTGGGAGCCGCAGAGCTGCCCGCACCATCCCCACGCTCCTGCTGAGGAGCCAGGAGGGAGCTGTGAGCACCCCGGAAACAAGCAGCTTTCCAGAGCAGTCACCTCCTCGGGCGACTTTCCATTCCCACCACCTCCCAGCATGGAAACTGGGGGAGCCACTATGGATTTTGACAAGGAGTCAACGATTCCTGGGCATGAGGACAGACTCCTAGCAGGGACATCTTTTTTAAAACAGTCTTTTCTTCCCTTGGAGAACATCTAGCTAAGCGCAAAGCAGACTTCTTAAGTCTTGACACAATAACGGCACCGCACCTGCAGTACTGCTGGTGTACCGCACATGGACAAATGGTGCTGGGAGAACTCGAGAGCTGGGCGGTTCCCACAGCTGCCTAGGGGCTGAGGGTGGCCTCCGAGGCAGAGCCCTCCAGAGTGACCACCTTGCTGCAGTCCTGCCCCGGCCCCCATTCCTGTGGAGGGCGGGAGCCAGGGTCGTGGCCTCCAGGCTTTGCTGTGCTGCCAGCAGCCTCAACAATGGCTTTTGGACCAGACTTCCCCGCCCCTGAGTGGAGGTGTGAGGGGCTGGAGCTGGGAGGCAGGAAGTGAGTACAGATGGGTTGCTGGGACAGCTGTGCAGGGAACAGAGCACATCTGTCTGGGTGAGTCTGGTGGGGCCCCTCCCCACAACTTCTACACTCAGTCTACCGGCTCACTGAGGGTGTGGACTGGGTTTGGGTCCCAAATAGGGAAAATGATGGAAAAGGAAAGTCTGAAGATAGAGGCTGGAGCTAGGGGTTGCTGAGCTCGGGAGGAGAGCAGGGACAAAGGGCAAAGTGGAAAATGGAAGCAAACAGGTCAGGTTGCATCTGCTCAGGATGGGCTCTGGCTTTTCATGGCGCCAGAGTGCCCAGGGTCCCATGTGTCCTACCACCTCTCCCAGTAAAGCTGCCAACCCCACCTCTCCCCAGTAAATGGATGGTCTTCCCTTCTCGGTGCCCCCAAGGCTTCTTACTTTCTGGACTGCAGGTGTACTAACATCAGAGACTCTATCTCCTTCATAACTGAGCCCCCACACAGAAGATGCTGTAGATGTTTATTGAATGAGGAAAAGATTTTGTGTCTCAAACTGACTGACCCCAGGTTCCCTATTAATCCTGTAATTGTCTCTAATTGGCTTTAAGTCTTGCTGTGAGAGTTTGTCCCAAGAAGACACCGGAGAGATATTTGGGAGGTAGAAGCTGGGTGGCCTTTTATCAGGAATTTGCTTGCTTCCCCTGTTAGCTCCTTCCTAGGAAGCTGAGCAGAGAGGAAGGGCTCATTGTTCTACAAACTGTATGCAGGGACTTGGCATCATGACCATTTGCATGTGCGGTTGGGGCAGTTGCCCCTTCTTCTGTGCAAAGCTGTTACCTTCCTGATGTCGAGCCAGAGAGGCAGGAATTATGGATCACATGGTGCTCTGAAAGTAGGGAGGGCCGATGGTTCCCCCACATCTATCCCCACCCCTTAACCCCCGCCACCATCACCTCTCTCCGGCTGGTTTTCACATTGTAATGAAAGGAGATGGGAGTTTGAGTCTCAGATCTGCTGTGGCCATGGGTGAGTCATTTCTACTCTCTGGCCTCAGTTTTCTCACCTGTACAATGGGAAAGCTGGACTAGACGACCTCTGAGATCTCTTCCAGTGTTAATAGTCATAAACCTGGTAGGCTGATGGGTAGGAAATATGGCCCTTGATGTTTTCACTGTCCCCCTGAGAGTCTGGGCTGGGGACTTTCCCTTAACTTAGGCTTGGGAAAGGGAGGAGAGGCCAGAGGGGGCCCTTTCCCACTCACTGACTCTTTTTCCCACCCCTCGCGGCAGTAGTGACTCTTCCTGGATGAGAAAGTCGAGTCCTGCTTGGAGCCAGAAGGTCTGTGTGAATGAGTCTTAAACTTCTCAAGCTCCGACTCCTGTTTTCTATTATCCAGCGAGTGTAACAGAAGTGCCAGTGGGAAGGAAGGAAGGATTCAAGTCCCAAGGGCTTGAGGCCAAAACGGGACATGTATGCTCGCCTCTCACATTATTTTCATCATTGTCATCATCATCATTGCCATCCCCCATTGTTAATATTGTGAAATATTTATTTTTTTGTAATTCAGTCATGTGCAGGGGAATGAATAAATAAGCAAGAAAATTTGGTTATAAGAAGCCTGTACTGTGCTCGGTACGTCTCAGGTCCAGGCTGGTGACTCCAATCCTCACAGAGGGATTGAGTCTGACCCCCAGCGGTCAGTGGCCAGTGGCTTAGCTTTCCTCCGGGAGAGAGTGCTCTGCTCTTCGGAGGAAAGGCCTTAGAATCCCAAGCCCCTTCTGCTGCTGTACATCTGTGTCTTACTCATCTTTGTAGCCTCGACAATGCCCTGAACAGGGTCTCACAAAGGTGCTTACTATATGCTTACTGATAATTATTATGATGGTGCCATATAATAAATTCAGTAGGGGAAGTGGGTTGGGAGTGCTATGGAGGTGCCATGAGCTGAGAAACATGAATTCCTTGTCTGGGGCATGTTCCCTACTAAGGACTAGCGTCCTGGGTTATAAGACCAGCATGGGATTGTTTGGGAGGCCAGGTAGCAGAGACTCAGACAGGAGGTGAACGGCTGGCGCCTCCTTCTGGCCCTGCAGGGCTGGCGCAGGCCTGGGAAGGGCTTGTGTGGACACCTTAGCCCTGGGGGCTCCCAGACCCTGCCTGCCCCAGACCCTTCACCTGGAGAGCCCAGCTCAGGAGAGCCAATGGAGAGCGAGGGAGGCGGTTATGTAACCCGCTTCACTCCTTGTCAAAACTGGTGACTAATTCAGAGCGCCTGGGCCAGATTGGCTCCGCAGCTTTGCTGTTAGCTGCAGGAGGCCTCGGCCTGTTTGTGGCTGCTTCTCACCCCCTCTGCTGGAGGGATCTCTCAGCTTCCCTGCTGGCCTTACTCCGTCAACCTCAACCACGCCCCATCGCCAGTCCTCCCCACTTAGACCGTTTCCACGTGCGTCCAGCCCCCACCTTTCTGCCTCTTCCTGCCCTACAGAAAGAGGCCAGGGAGAGAGTTCATTTACGCCTGCCCCAAGAGC